GAACACCCATTGCGGGAACGACGATTGCAAGTGCGGCGATGCTTGCAGCTGCGCGGTACGTCAACTCCCCCACTCCCATACACGTCTCTCATCCCGCATAGGCCGGCCAGTGCAAATGCGGCAAGAAATGAACGCTATGTCGAGTCTGCAAGTGGTGCAGAAGGAGAAGTTGTGAAGAGTGGATCTGGTTTGATGGGTTGTATGCCTGAAATTGAATGAATTGTCATCTGTGTACCACCTCCGTACCTGCGCCTATTCGAGTAAGATGCACCAGCCTAGGCGAGTGTGACGCACCAACTCGTGCTCATAAACACTCATACATCCCTCAAATCAACCACTATCGCCTCCTCCCGCCGCCGCCGCCGCCTCTTCTCCTCTCCTCCCTCCTTTCCTCCTTCGCCCACCTCGCCCTCGCGCGTGGGTCGATAACCTCGTACTCCGCCTCCGCCCTCCTTGTCTCCTCGTTCCCTTTTTCAAACCGCAGGGCATGCCCCAGCCAAGCAATATCCGTATCCATCTCCTCCCCCGAGTCTTCATCCTCTGCTGGCGGGGCAGGCGCCTTCTCTCCTGCAGGCACCTCATCCGCTGCTTCCTGCCCAGCATCCTCAGGCAAAAACGCATGTAACCTCCCCTGAAACCTTTCCAACCTCTTCAACATCTCCCCCTCCTCCCTCCTCCCCTTCCCCACACGTTTGACATTCAGTCCTCCCATACCCCTGTGCGACTCGTACTTTGCCAGTTCCTGCTCGAGCGCTGAGGGACCTTTCGGTTTCTTGGAGTGCGGAGGGGTGGGGGAACGGGAACGTTTCCGCGTGAGACTGAGGACGCTGCGTTCGAGAGCGAGTACTTCGGCTGAGCGTGCTTCCCTGACCATATCCAGTGTCAGCGGAGTCACAGGTGAACTATGCACGGGGAAGGACTCACCGTTTTGCCGCTTGGTCCTTTGCGTGTTTCGCCCGGATGTTGAGCACGTCAACTTCTTCCTCAACTTCCCTATCCCTCTTCCCTTTCCCCTTCCCGTCCGCGTTGGGCTTGCTCGGCAAGCTCAGCTTGTCTGCCTCTTCTGCCGGTTGAGGGGCTGTTTTTGGTTTGGATGTGGTGGAAAATGGACCGGTAAGCATGGCGAGCTGTTGTGTTGAGGAGGGGTCTTCTATCACTAGCATGCAGCCGCATAACATCAGCATATGCTGGCGAGGGGAGCTCAAGACGTACAGTCAGGCCGGGCGATGACCTTTTTCTTAAAGCTGGGTGGCTCCTCTGCGTCCGCACCGAAAGACAACAACTTGGTATCCCTACAACAAGATCAGGTTCGATCCTTTCTGCAACCGCAACAAAAACTCACTTCTTCGCCGTCTTCCTCCTGTTCTCCTCTTCTCTTGCCCTTACTGCTTCCTTCTTCGCGCGTGCTTGCGCTTCCCGCTCTGCAGCCGTGATGCGTGGTACGATGTCATCGAAAGGATTGGAGAGGACTTTGATCGTGTTTATCTTTGGCGGGTAGGTGGGCCGGCCGGTGCTGTCGATCTCGAGTTGTCCGATCTTGAGCACATCTGATAGAGATTAGTTCATTCAAAGTACCGGCATGGGCGACAAAGTACGGACTGTAGGTCGTATCCCCCACTACCCGACCAAACAGCGTGTTCTTCCCTTGCAGTTCATCCGCCCTATCTGCACGGTCTCAGTAGCTGTCAGCAGACTGGGTTATACCGAACCGAGTGTGATAAAGAACTGCGAGTCGTTCGTGTTGGTTCCTTCCCCGCTTGCGCAGCCTACGAGGCCGCGGTGGGTCCATCGGAGACGTGGATGGGGTTCGCTCTCGAACGGTTCTACATGGGGAAACGTAGTGAATCAAAGCAAGAATGATGAAGTAGATCAGGTAGCACTTACCTCCAAAGAATGATCCCCCGCCATTTCCCGTGCCCGTGCGGTCACCCGTCTGTACCAAGAATCCCGGGACGACTCTGAAACGGACATGAAAAGGGATACAGCATGTAAGGCAGGACAAACCGGTGGAAGATCACTCCATCGTAGTACCCTTCTAGTGCGAGCGCGATGAGGTTGCGACATGCTTTTGGACATTCCTGCTACCTGTCGGTTCATATTCTAATGAGTGGTTGATGGGACGCGCCTTGGGACCATA